ATAAATAACCGATTTACCCCCCAATATTAATTATTTGAACATCAAAACAAAAAATCATAAAAAGTCCGAAGATGAGGTGTCTCATATGGGAAGGAGGCGTGCTTTAAATAAGGGGTAGATGTGTCATTTTTTGGCTGAATGAAGACAACACACCATTTATATATGTGCGATTAAGTCATGTTCCGTGCGAATAAGACGTAAGTAAACAACCCAAATAAACTGTGCGAATAAGCCAAATAAACCAATAAGTCTAATTAAGCCGCAAGTAAACAGCCCCAAAATCTTGTATGCAAAAAAATTTCATGTACATTTATTAAAATTACTAATTAGGCCTCATAAAATTAATCTAGATAAACAATAGAAATAAACAAAACCAGAGTTACAGTAGTACCAACAATGTATGAACACTCAATTAAGTGATACGGTAATACCCTTTAAACAAATAATTGTTTATCATGATGGAACCATGAAATGATGTCACGGTGTCACCTTACGCTAAGCATTAAGGGGTCATTTAACCAACTTTTATCTAGTAAGCTTTTACTGTTAAGAGTCAATATTTTCACTTTACTTACTAGGTAAGATTAAAACGGCATCGTATGCTACTTTTTTCTGGTAAACATTTACCAGATAAGATTTTTCTATTTTTGTCATAATCCATCCAGCAAGATAAAGTAATCTAGTAAACATTTGGACGTAATTCTATCCATTAACGAAACATCCATAATAACCAATATTATCTATATCTATATATATCTATAAAGCAGAATCATGATATGCTGACATGACATCTCCTCGACGTAGAGATCATATTTTCCTCTTTTTTCCACATTTTGATTTTTTTTTCTTAATAATTTTGCAAATTAATGTTCACATTTAACTCAAAACCCTTCCCCTTCTCTTGGTACGTTTCAACTCTATTTATGTGTACATTTAACTCAAAAAACCTTTCCCCTTTTCTTGGTACGTTTCAACTATATTTATGTGTTCTCCATCTCTATCTCCATGTACGAGTTATAAATTACTGGTACGCTCTTCGCTCTTCTTTTCCATCTCTCATCTAAAAACCACTTTTCCTCTTTTTTCCACGTTTTGATTTTTTTTCCTTAGTAATTTTGCAAATTAGTGTTCATATTTAACTCAAAAACCCTTCATTTCTCTTGGTATGTTTCAACTCTAACATTTAAATCATTCAATCCTTGGTTTTTTCTCTAAATCCCTCAATCTTTAGGTTTTTTTCATTTATGTGTTATTCATATCCATGTACGAGTTATAAACTATAGGTACGCTCTCTCCTCTTCTTTTCCATCTATCATCTATAGCAGAAGAGTATACACAAGTTTATCAATATATGTAACAAGACATTGGAATATGGATTAAAGAGAAGTCTAAGACATTGGAACATGGATTAAAGAGAAGTCTCCATTGAGGTTTTAGAATTTTGTGAGAATTTTGATTATTTTTCCTTTTGTTGTGGATTCACTTAATTTTTTTATATTATGTTTTCTTATAGTTTATTAATTTGTAATTTTGTAAGAAAAAAACACCAACAATAAGACACATTTGTAGGCATCGCAATACTAATTTTTAGAAAAAACACAAACTTTGTTTTGTTATTGATGTAATTATTATCAAAACATTAAATTAATTAGACTATTCATTTTCATTGCTTACACCCAATATTTGTTTTTTTGATTCGTTTATCTCATATGACCCTATTTGTTATTTACATAACAATAATTGAACACACACACATACATATGTATGTATGTATTCAATATATATAATC